ACAAAAAAAAAATAAAAAAAAATGTTACCTTGTTTTATAAAGTATCCTCCCGACAAGTATTTCAGTGCGGACCTGTATTTGATCGTGAGGTCTTGGAGCACCGGCATGCCCTCCCCTGTGAGGTCTTAAGTCACCTGAGTCACGACCCCGTTGTACTACATTAACAAAGGCACGAGGGGTTGGTTGCACTCGATTGGGAAACCGATCCGCATAAACATGTGCCATTTTTTATTTCGTTTGAGCCACGCAACAGACACCACTATTCACTCACGCGTTACCGACTGACACATTAACTGAATAAAAACATCGTGATCAGCGTTTCAAATTCTTTCGCTTTTTTGTTTCCGATGCGATGAAGGCGGATTATATACGTTGTTGCCAAACACGAGCACATAATATTATTATTGAGACAGGGCGGTACTCAAACTTCTAAGGGGCTATAACTTTGTTACTTTAATTTTACCACAAAAATGTTAAAGGAAAAAACATTTCTTTTGATCAGATCTACTCAATGTTAAAATAAATGACTCAACTTCGAAGTCTGTATAAGTAACCTTGTATTTTGTATTTCTTGTTCTTCTCATGCCATGGAATCTGTTTACCTTTCCGTAATACTTAGCAATTAAGTATAAGAATAGCCCACGGATTAACTTCGCTACTGGTGTTAGATCTGGATCTGCTTTCACGTACTTAATAAAGACGAATTTATTATTATTGTACTCAGTGACATAAGAAATGTTACAGCCAGAAAAAATAATATCTGTAACTTGTTTTTTTGGCAACGTAATGACTATATTTAAAAGTATGCTGTTGCAATAATGTCAACGTTTTATCTTTGTTTTTGTTCACCTTTGTCAAAATGTTATCTCTTAGTTTTTGTGAAGAAAGCAGTTTCTGAATGCTTAGCATAGATAACCGAAGTTATCCACGTCGGACTGGAGGAATACATGCCTCGTACTGCTGACATAATAGAAGTGCCTGATTGTGTTAGTATTTGCACCATTTACTTGATTTGTTTAATGGGCAGTTCAGAGACTTAATCCTTAAGCTTTTTACATACTAGTTGTGCAATTTGTCTATAAGCAGTCCGGAGACGGTCTCAAGACACGATCTATAGATGGTCTACTGACATCCTTCTTTGTATACTAAGTGACATCCGGACACCCAGTTTAAATGGTTTTATTTTAATAAAATTTTGTATAAGTACTTAATGAAGCATAATAAGTAAATGATAAAAATTTCAAAATGATTGCACTGCTTTAAAGCCCTTTGACCTTTAATAATGTGTGGATGCATCCTGATGTGCTACGCATTCTCCAACGCGCCTAGGCATGCTTCTGATCAGATGGTCAATGTCCTCCTGTGGTATCTCATTCCAGGCAACCACCAACTCCTCTCGAAGTGCTTCTGGAGTCTGAGGAGGACGTTGCAAATTGAGCAATCTCCTACCCATCATATCTCACACGTACTCAATTGAGGATAAGTTGGGAGATCTTGGTGCCCATGGTAACAATGTGACATCATTATGTTGAAAGAAGTCTATTGTGACTCTTGCAACATATGGTCGGGCATTATCTTGTTGGAAAGTTGGATCTGCCAGGGTGTCAAGATGGGGTTCTAGAACTTCGTGGATATAACGCTGCGCATTCATGTTACCTCTGATGAAGATTAAAGGTGACCTGGAACCATAAGCTAAAGCACCCCAAACCATAACTCCAACAGTGTGATGAACATGTCTTTCAACAAAAAACTGTAGATTCCTCCTTTCAGCACGTCGCCTTCTAACCCTGGCACGACCATCGTGCATGCCTAAACAAAATAGAGACTCGTCACTAAAGACAATACTGTTCCATTACTGATCCCAGAGTGACCGTTGTCTGCACCACTCAAGGCGATTTCGTCGGTGTTCTCGAGTTAAAGGGAGGACCCAGTGTGGCCGGTATGAAAACAAGCCAAAACTTCTCATTCGTGGGTAAACACTTTGCATACCAATAGGTCTTCCGTGTTCTGCAAACCATTCATTTGCAATGGACCTGGTAGTGGAGAAACGAAGGCCAATAATCTTAGGCGGCGATCTTCACGGTCTTTTGTTCTACGGCGGCGTCCAGTGCCCCTTGCTCTTTGCGTACGGCCTTTTCGAAGCCATGCCTGACAACACCTAACCACAGTGTCTACACTTCTTTGCACTCTAACTGCAATTGCCCGAAAAGAAAGTCCAGCTTCCCGAAGTCCCACTATACGGCCCCTATCAAACTCACTAAGTTGACGAAATCGTACAGGTCTCCGTACTCTAGGCATCGTAACCGATCGTAAAGGATGTCAAGAACCAAAATCCGCCAACGTTGATTCTTTACTGCGGCTGAAATATTCATTTTTAGAGCGTTAGTGAATTAAAAAAAAGCAGTATAAAAACCGGAATGTCCAACTGATAAGGCTGAAAATTGTTTTACTTGTTATTTACAGTAAGATAAATACATTCACCAACTCTTATTAAAATAAAACCATTTAAACTGGGTGTTCGGATTTATATGTCACTTAGTATATTATCTAGCGTCCACGATAATCTAAATTTTTTGGTCTCATGTTCGTTTTCGCAATCAAAGACATTGTTTTGTGTGGAATGGGCTGGGATATGTCTCGGGGTTTTATTTATTTTTTGTCGGTTAACAGAGTAATGAAATTTTTTATGTTTGAATCTTTAATATTATTACACTAGTTAATTATGAATGCCACGTACTTAATTTGTTCTCATATAATAAAATATTGGCTTTCTGAGGATTTCTGAGCAATTTCCATGCCTATTTTTCAAGCTGGCCTTGCCCAGATAGAACACAATGGATTTGACCTTTGGGCGACACATTGAAAAAATCTAATATTGACATAGGCTATCAGTTATGACTTATGACTTATAGATGACATAAGATATTATAAAAAATGAAAAATAACCTGGGAAAATGACTTTAGAATTAGTTGCTTGCAAGCAACATTGCGAGATAAAGTATAGGTTCTATTGTTACTTGCAAGCCGCATTGACCGATAAAGGTAATCCTAATTTCACTGGTTTATATGGAAATACAACTATACATTTCAAATCATTTATTTATAAAACGAATATCAAGAAATAAACAAAATATATATTTCCAGTTTCACAAAATACAATGTGATGAAACAGCTAAATCTAATTGGAATGGCAAAGGTAGAAACAATTCTTATTTGGGGTGAAACAAAGCCTAAGATTGCACTTGGTACAAAAGATTGTTGTACCTTTTGTACCATAAGTTGGCCAATGACCTATGCCATCTTTTTGGGTGGTGATATCAGGTCTCCGCAGTATAAGGTTTGATATTATTTTCGCAGGGGTTTTATTAGTCGAGGAAATGGATGGTCTGCCACAAGAACTTTGTTTTCCTGCGTTGGCCAACGATTTGGCTAATTCCATACGGAACTCCTTTAGCGGTATTGACGTTACACGTGCTGTTTTGCAGTCCTTTCTATACAGAAGCCAGGCGTTGATCACTGACATATCAAGAACCCATGTGAATATTGGGAAGTACCATCTTTTCGATCTGCTTGGACCAAGTAATGAATTGGCCTTATCGACACCGCCCATGTGCTTATTGTATTGCGTTATAACGGATGGATAAGGGATGGCAATTTTTTTCTTTTCCACTTTCGAATATCTTTTTATCAATTTTACGAGATTTAGGCCACAGAATGTAAGTACTTGCTAATAGAACACATTTATTGACAACCCATTTTACTACTATTATACCCTTGTCTGTATCTGCTTTATAAACGTAGGAACCTCTTCCCTTTTTTTGAAGCACTTTATCGGTTTCAAGTTGACATCCAGCTATTCTGTTAAACCTTATAGTTCCTAAACTGAGTATCCCGAATCGGTCTTCTTTACTTCATAATCATCTAACTCATTCGGAGATCCTCTAAGCATTTCAACTGGCGCAGCTCCCTGATAGGATATGAAGTCGGCAATTTAACCAGAAACCCCAGCACGAATAAAAAATTTAAACCCCCATTTGTGGGGTTTATTTTGGATATACTGCTTCAAGTTACCCACATACGTGCCTTTGTAAGACACCATTGTTCCACCAATTGAGTATTAATCTTCAAACTGGAGTTTATAACAGTTCTTGCGTACAATTTCTAATAAGGGTTTAATTTTGAAATATCGATCCTTTGGTCTGTTATGTTAATATTATCCTTGAAATGGATAAACCGTCTTAGTTTCTGAAACCTCTTCAGAGGCATTATATTGGCCACGTGATCTGCTCTTGTACTAGCTGCCCAAAAATCTTCTATGGCAGGAAGTTTTATTACAACCATAATCAAGAGTATAGATAGAAAATCCGTTATCTCTGACGGATTTGTATCAATACATTGCCCAAGTTGCTGAGTCTGATAGACTAAGGTACCTGTACCAAATAAGGCCAAGCTCCTTAAAAGGCCATGCGTCGATTTTACAGACACTAGTTACATCTAGAATTAAAGATTTCTACAGTTCTATACATTCATTGAAATGAGTTAGCACCCATAAATGTAGCAGGTGTGGAGCGGCGCTAGATGGCGCAGTTGGCCAGTGTCGATTTTCAACACGTGCCTTACAAAATTACTACTTTAAATTTGTCTTCGATTTTTCATGTTGTCTGCTTCTTTTTACGAAATCTGTTGTCAGTTCAATCAGCTAAGTCTATAGAACAGATACAGCTAGTTATTTGTCGTCGCCAGGTTTTAAATATTTTGTATTTTATAAATTGTATGTTTAAGGTTATATGTGCCTAATAAGGCCATGATAAACTGTTCCCATTACGGCCACTTGCCCTTATTAGGAACACGCTGGCCATTACGGCAGATGTCTTAAGTTAAGATGTTTTTTTTTTCAGAGACTATAGTCGAAATATGCCCTCTAAGAAAAGGGCGCTGTGGTCAACCGAAGCGCTTGTACAAGCACTGGATAGTATAAACAGTGGAACGTCGGTAAATCGTGCATCCAAAGAATACCAAATTCCACGAAGAACACTTCGCAGTCATGTTCGTACAGGTGTGCGAGAAAGAAAACTTGGTACTCGTACAATTTTGTCTAGAGAGCAGGAAGATGAACTATGCTCAAGGATAATCCAATTATCGGATACAGTAATGCCCCTTACACCAAAGATTTTGTGAAAATCCGTCTTTTCCTATGTTAATGACAAAAAAATTCGTCACACATTTAATGAAAATAGTGGAATGGCAGGTAGAAAATGGTTGAAGTTGTTTTTGGACAGACATGAAAACATTCGCCAAAGGAAAGCACAGGTTTTAAATCCAGCTAGGGCACAGAAAGTAAATAAGTACATTGTAAACGACTACTTCAAAAAACTAGAAAGTTTGCTGATTAGACTAAACCTAATCAATCAGCCCCATCGTATCTACAATGTAGTTGAGAAGGGGTGCAGACTCACCATCCACCGCCAACCAAATGTGTTGGCGAGGAAAGGTGAAAGACGTGTTCACTATGTAGCTAATGAGCACGCAGAAAATTCCACAATAGTTGCATGTAGAAATGCTATTGGACAGGCAATACCACCAATGGTCCTGTTCAAGGGAAAACGTAAAAAGGATGAATGGGGTGACAATATGCCAACCGGAACAGTAATTGAAATGACCCAAAAAGGAAGTATGACGGCAGCAGTGTTTGTTAAATGGCTAGACCATCTAGCAAACTATAAGCCACCAGGAGATATTCTTCTCATTTTTGATGGTGCCTCTTCTCATTTGGATGCAACTATTGTTGACGCCGCCGAAAAACATCACATCACTTTATTGTGTCTTCCGAGTAACACGACACACGTGCTGCAACCGCTGGATAAATGTGTTTTCCGCAGTTTCGAATATCATGGGGAAAATGAAATACTTAACCATTACAAGCGGTATCCTGGCAGGAAGTTGAATCGTGCGAGATTTGGAGAAATTTTGGGGAAAGTGTATCCAAGGGCCATGTCTTCTGAAAATCTTCAGTCAGGATTTCGCGCAACAGGAATATACCCACACGACCCAGTTGCGATCCCGGAGACTGCATTTACACCTACAGTATATTCAGATAAGAGATAGACCGGACATAAACAAGACCACGTGATCATCGAACGCTGTAACATTCGGCAGGGACGTATTAAGAGTCACGCAGTACATATTTTAGATAGTAGATGCTGCTTTGCGTAACTTTGTAGTAAATTAGCACAATTCGATGTGTATACGATTGGTGATGGATATAGGATCATGTGGGGGTGGGGTAAGAAATATATAATGATGTAAATATACATAAGGGTTTCAAAATTTTCGTTTGGTGAAATACAGTCGAATATAATCTCAAAATGGCGTTTAAATTAGCCTAAATTAAAAATAATCGTATATCTCTTAAAATTGCTTTTAGAATATTGATTAGTATATTTTTTGATTTCTAGGTAAATATGTAACCAAATTAAAACGTTCAAAACGTAAAAAAATGTGCATGGTTGAACATTGTCAGAAAGAAGATTCTTGAATAGGTTTTGCCAAAATGGGTTCAAAAATGTCAAAAACTAATTAAAAAATACAGTAGCTTTATAATTACTTATAACTTACCGAATTTGATGAACGACATCTTTTATTGGAAAGATGAGCTTGATGAGCTTTCATCATCGCTACTGCCTGAAGCACCAACGTCAATAATGAATGGCTCGACTTGTTCCTCTAAAATATTGTCCAGTTCCCACATTCTCTTTTCAACTTTGTCTTTCGCGTGCTTAATACAGTTTTCCCATATTTGCGCTGTTATTAATTCTAGTGCTTCTTTGAAAAGTCCTTTGAGGTCACAAAATTTAAAAGTTGTATTGTGCTTAGCTATATAATTTTTAACCTCTGCCCATATGAGCTCAATGGGATTGAACTCGCAATGGTATGGAGGTAAACGGAGCACAGTTTTATTTTGACTTGCTGCCATTTCGTCAATGGCGTATGTTTGATATTCCGCCTTGTGATCCTTGACAATTCTTAATAATTGTACTTTCAGCATTGCTTCTTCAAAGTTGATATTTTTCGAGCGGAGCCAATTTTGAACATCAACTTTCCTTGAAGCCGTTGTTGGGACCTTCTCCATTCTTCGAGAATGATAAGGCGCATTATCCAACACAATTACTGCGTTTTCCTCTAAGTTCGGTAAAATTTTTGAAAACCACTGTTCAAACGATTCGCCATTCATTTCCTCGTGGTAATCTCCAGTTTTCTTAGAGTCAAAGCACCACAGACCGTCAACAACAAATCCATCCTCACTGCCAATATGGCAGATAATGAGCCTTTTCCCTTTACCTGGAAATCGAAGTACTAACTGGTGTAGATTTATTTCAATAAGCGAACCTTTTTCAAATGTTTTCATCACATTCAGCGAAAAAACACTGAGACATGAGTATCAGATTGCTATAATTGGGATTATTTAGTCATATTGAAAGAAAGAATATTGAACGTCGTATGATTACTCAGCGCTTCACAATTTAATTTAAAGTTATAAACCTTTAAAAAATGAATGATCAGGAACCTGAAATACGCGCAAATATTAATATTAAGAAATTATAACTTTATAAAGCTTAAAGTATGAATTAAAATGATTAGAAATATTAGGAACGGTACACAATATAAAACTTAGTAACTTTTTTTAAGTTTATAATATTCGACATATTTTAAGATTATATTAAAAAATTATTGAAATATCGAAAACACATAAAAACATGGCTTAAAAAAGTACTAATAAATGAAAATGACAATAAAACATCCACGCATTTTATCGAAAGTTATAAAAGTTTTGTTTCTTGTAATATGTTTTATCTGCCCCCTGGAATTAATGTTTAGAACCTTGTTCCCAAGGTTTGAAAAACATCCGATTGTTGTCTATTACTCGTATTTACCTGCTGGATTTTTTAATCCGGTGGACAGTCCATCTAGAAAGGCCCTCCTGGATGAAGTTACAGAATCATCAACCCATACTTTACTTGTAGTGTGTCCTGCGTTAACCCACGTTTCATCAAGGTAATAAATCTTCCTGTTTTGATTTCTATATTTCCCAATTTTCGTTAAATAATCCCTCCTCCATAGCACAATTTCTTCTCTATCCAGTAGTAAACTATTACGACCCTGTTTTTTCCATTTGAAATTTAAATGCTTCAGTAACGCATGGAAAGTTGATCGTTTGAAATTTGGCAACGTTGTATCTCCATTTACCTCCTGCAGTACTTTATCTATAGTAGGTATTTCATTCCTAAAGAAGAATTCATGCACTTTCCTCCTAATCGCATGCTTATCAGCTTCATCCAATGATTTAACAATACTTTTGCGATGTTTACTGGTCATTGGCTCAGAAAAGGTGTGATTTTTTTTGTATTCTCTTAACACATTAAACACTGATGCGCGACACACCCCAACTTTGTGAGAAACCTTCACAACAATTCCTTTGATGGTTGATGCCTCGTTCTCCTCGCGCTCGATCTTATATATATTCAAAATGACCTCTTTCATTTCTGCACTCAGGTGTCTTTTTTTAGAGCGTTTCCTAGGTGGACTACAGGAGTTTACAACTTCATCGGCAGTATCTGTACTACTGGGCATTTTGCGCAAGCAGTTGATAACAATAACAATCAATAACAAGGTATAACAATAACAACGACAAACTCAACAACTTAATAAGATAACAAACGAAAACGTCCAAAGAAATATCAAATTGCAATGATGCACACAACATACGTAACACGTCTGAACCTGAATGTGACTCTGCCTTGATACGACTGCTCTGCCGCTCGGCATAGGCATTTAATTGCGAATTGACCAATGAGGGCTCCTGTTTTACGTCGAGACGGCGGCGTTAGCGTGAAAATCACCCGAACCTTTTGTTTACATCCGGTCTATCTCTTATCTGAATATACTGTAGTTTAATGTCAGAAAGACCCGATTCAAATACGGCAGCTACAGATGTTCAGGAGGAGAATGAGGCAAACCATGATGTCAGCTTTACAGAATCTGACGACATACCCCTTGCACTACTGTTGGCCAACGGAACTTCAATGTTACAGATAACAGCTACTTCTAATGAAAAAGAAATAAACTCGACTCAAAAGTTTGCAGTTCTTAAAACAACAAATCTTGTGACTGGTCAAATAGACAGTGATCAATTGGATCTAAGTTTCAGGGAAGTACTTCTCATACCCGAATGGAAGGCCAACGCCACAAAAAGACGAAAAGCCATCAATTGTACTGCGCAAATCGTCGTAAGAGATTTGTTTAAAGACCCAAATCCAGGTCCATCCGGATAGATAAAACAAGAAAAAAATCTAGTGAGTCTGGAACCGTTAAAAGCGGTCTCGAAAGAATAAAGACGAAAACTGGTACTGTTTCATATGCGATAAGGATGAAGTACGTGACATGCGTCTGTGTGTAGTATGCTTAAGATATGTCCATGAGGAATGTGTGTATAGGTGATAAAGTATCCTTTGTTTGTCATCATTGCGAAGGCAAAATCTAAGATTCTGTATGATTTTCTTTAAACAAGTTGACTTTTTTTATTTAAATCTGTCTAGATATCAGTGTTTTTTTAATTTTGTTTAATTAGAAATATAGCTTCGTTTATTATACAGTCTTGATTTACATTTTGATGGTGGTTTTATTGAAAACCAGATGGTGGCCTTATTTGGATGCATGGGTTCCTAATAAGGCCAACGGTAGTGTTTCGAAAAATATATCTTTTTATATGAAAAGAAAAGGTCTCTGAGTTATCCGATGTAGCTTGTGTAATAAACATATCTACAATAATACCTTTAAAATTTCAAGGTCGTTTCGCAAATATTTACGCAGTTACAGCTATCCGAACGTTAATGTGGCCTTATTTGGTACAGGTACCTTATTTTATTCATTAGATCAAATGAAAAAAACTTTGTAAAATACTCAATGGGAACTGCAATGTTGTTAGGTTCAGGAAAGTCTGGTGAAGCAGAAACTATGTCAGCTTCAATCCAAGATTATGATTCAGTTTTTCGTCTTTGTGGTGGTGGCGGCTCAGTTTCATCGTCCCTTTCTTCGAATTCAGAATTACTTTCTGGAACCAGCATGTCAAGTCCTGAAGCCGCTTCTTCTTCATCGTTAAGCTCATTTGTTTGGCAAATATTTTCTCCGTCACTGAAATCGTCGTCTGAGACATCGGAAATATACAGATCTGTGGGAATTATGGTCGGTGCCGAAAAAACATGTAGTGCTTATGGTTGGAAAGTTATCCAGATCGGAAGACTGAAAAAGCAAACGTAATTATTCTGGCAATGTTGCTTGAGAGATACATACTAAACAAAGTCATTTTCCTTGCCTTATTTTCTGATCTATCGCTTAAAAATAATCATAAACATGAAGATTCAACCTTGTTTTATACTAACCAAGGCTAATAGAACATAAAAACAAATGATTACAGGCTACAGCACCAGATATAGGGTTAAGAAGCAATAATAGGATAAATTGTAGAAGTTCCACTGAGGTTTTAAAATGACCAGCCCCAAATATCGTATGCGCCCCCCCCCCTAGACGAAATCCTGATTTTATATGAAAAGAAAAGGTCTCTGAGTTCTCCGATGTAGCTTGTGTAATAAACATATGTACAATAATACCTTTAAAATTTCAAGGTCGTTTCGCAAATATTTACGCAGTTACAGCTATCCAAACGTTAATGTGGCCTTATTTGGTACAGGTACCTTATTTTATTCATTAGATCAAATGAAAAAAACTTTGTAAAATACTCAATGGGAACTGCAATGTTGTTAGGTTCAGGAAAGTCTGGTGAAGCAGAAACTATGTCAGCTTCAATCCAAGATTATGATTCAGTTTTTCGTCTTTGTGGTGGTGGCGGCTCAGTTTCATCGTCCCTTTCTTCGAATTCAGAATTACTTTCTGGAACCAGCATGTCAAGTCCTGAAGGCACTTCTTCTTCATCGTTAAGCTCATTTGTTTGGGAAATATTTTCTCCGTCACTGAAATCGTCGTCTGAGACATCGGAAATATACAGATCTGTGGAAATTATGGTCGGTGCCGAAAAAACATGTAGTGCTTATGGTTGGAAAGTTATCCAGATCGGAAGACTGAAAAAGCAAACGTAATTATTCTGGCAATGTTGCTTGAGAGGTACATACTAAACAAAGTCATTTTCCTGCCTTATTTTCTGATCTACCGCTTGAAAATAATCATAAACATAAAGACTCAACCTTCTTTTATACTAACCAAGGCTAATAGAACATAAAAACAAATGATTACTTAGTACCATTTGCAATTAAAATCCCAACTACAGATTCATACGTGCACCAAACACCTGTTCTGTTACGCGGCAACCAATTTGAAAATTTTAACTCAACTTTTTATAATCAGAGGTCGCTCATAATATTATTTCCGTTAATGAATAATGTAGCTTACGTGCAACACTGCCCAATCAGACCATTAGAGCAGGGAGGACGAGAAATTGAGGTTTAAAGATGATGTTGCCTACAGGCTACAGCACCAGATATAGGGTTAAGGAGCAATAATAGGAAATTGTAGCAGTTCCACTGAGGTTAAAAAATGATCAACCACAAAATATCGTTTGCTCCCTAGACGAAATCCTGAATCCGCCCTTGTGATCTGCTCAGATGAATTTTTCTTGACGCAAAAAATGCAGTTTAAAAAGGAAATGACGTAGACAAGTCCCACACTGGGCTATATAAAGCGACGTGCCGCAACAGCGACCGATATTTTTTCTTTGTAAGTCGTACCATACATACACAATAATACATTTAATTGGTCAATCAGAGAGCGACGCCGCGCCGCGTCCCTGTGGCCTGAAAAATGGCGGCCGCCGAGCGTAATTTTCCACAGCCGTAATAAGGATAATTTTCAAACATGGTCGTGCCATTATCACACAGTCGAAGGTGATCGCCCATTGGCTGGGGGCAGTGTGGGGACACGCCCACGCGTTCTATGATTGCGGCGGAGGGTTGCAAGCGAGCAGGGGCGAGCTTTGGTATACAAAGATCGTATGTATACAAGGGTGGAAATGATGTTGTAGGAAGGGTGCGTGCAGCTTTATTGGATTTTAATCGGCACTCGCGAACAAGGTACTTTCCTGTGTAGGATATAAGCGAGAATATACAGGATCATACATAGCGTTTACCAATAAGGGTGAGAATAACAAAAGCAGTACGTGAGATAACGTGTGTCCTAAGAGTTTTGCCCCAAAATATTTGCCAGATTTTTTTTCAATGAAGAAATTTATTTAAACACTAACTAGTTATCATAAGTTACAACTCAATACTTAATTAGACTTTAGGGGAGACCGGGGGTGGGTGTCACATGGGTTGGTTGTCACAATTGTTAAATCTCAGCAGCTCCGCAAGATGTAGTAGCCTGGCGCGCTACACATCGTTTCTGCGTCCGTGCAGAACACTTGTATTCAGTACGAAAGTTGTCGTTGGTAGATTATGGTCGCACACACAAAAATAAACAAATCGCCTGACCAAGGTAAATTTTTCGTTTGCTACATAATTTGTGTTTTCAAGACTACATATGATAATACAAAGAAGTGTTGAATTTATTTTGCTCTTCAATAATCCGAATAGGACTTAACGTAATTATTGACTTTGAATTTGTTAATTTAGTGAAGCTATCTAACCTTAAAAATTAATTATCTAGTGGCGCAGGTTGTCTCAAATTAACGGGGGCCTCTTGTCACATGGGACAACCAGCCGCCACACCAGACGATTAGCTTTACACATCATTCTACGTAGGTATATGTATACTAAGTGACATATAAATCCGAACACCCAATTGAAATGGTTTTATTTTAATAAAATTTTGTATAAGTACTTAACGAAGCATAATAAGTAAACGATAAAAATTTCAAAATGATTGCACTGCTTTAAAGCCCTTTGACCTTTAATAATGTGTGGATGCACCCTGATGTGCTACGCATTCTCCAACGCGCCTAGGCATGCTTCTGATCAGGTGGTCAATGTCCTCCTGTGGTATCTCATTCCAGGCAACCACCAACTCCTCTCGAAGTGCTTCTAGAGTCTGACGAGGACGTAGCAAATTGAGCAATCTCCTACCCATCATATCCCACACGTGCTCAATTGGGGATAAGTCGGGAGATCTTGGTGGCCATGGTAACAATGTGACATCATTATGTTGAAAGAAGTCTATTGTGACTCTTGCAACATGTGGTCGGGCATTATCTTGTTGGAAAGTTGGATCTGCCAGGGTGTCAAGATAGGGTAAAAGATGGGGTTCTAGAACTTCGTGGATATAACGCTGCGCGTTCATGTTACCTCTGATGAAGATTAAAGGTGACCTGGAACCATAAGCTATAGCACCCCAAACCATAACTCCAACAGTGTGATGAACATGTCTTTCAACAAAAAACTGTGGATTCCTCCTTTCACCACGTCGCCTTCTAACCCTAGCACGACCATCGTGCATGCCTAAACAAAATCGAGATTCGTCACTAAAGACAATACTGTTCCATTTCTGATCCCAGAGTGACCTTTGTCTGCACCACTCAAGGCGATTACGTCGGTGTTTTCGAGTTAAAGGGAGGACCCAGTGTGGCCGGTATGAAAACAAGCCAAAACTTCTCATTCGTCGGTAAACACTTCGCATGCCAATAGGTCTTCCGTGTTCTGCAAACCATTCATTTGCAATGGACCTGGTAGTGAAGAGACGGTCCCTTAATGCCAATAATCTTAGGCAGCGATCTTCACGGTCTGTTGTTCTACGGCGGCGTCCAGTGCCCCTTGCTCTTTGCGTACGGCCTTCTCGAAGCCATGCCTGACAATACCTAACCACAGTGTCTACACTGCTTTGCACTCTAACTGCAATTGCCCGAAAAGAAAGTCCAGCTTCCCGAACTCCCACTATACGGCCCCTATCAAACTCACTAAGTTGACGAAATCGTACTGGTCTCCGTACTCTAGGCATCGTAACCGATCGTAAAGGATGTCAAGAACCAAAATCCGCCAACGTTGATTCTTTACTGCGGCTGAAATATTCATTTTTAGAGCGTTAGTGAATTAAAAAAAACCAGTATAAAAACCGGAATGTCCAACTGATAAGGCTGAAAATTTTTTCACTTGTTAATTACAGTAAGATAAATACATTCACCAACTTTTATTAAAATAAAACCATTTAAACTGGGTGTTCGGATTTATATGTCACTTAGTATACATATAGATACTAGAATAAAAAATATAGTACCATGTTTTTTGTAACAATTCAAACAAATTTTCGTTTTTTGATATAGGTACTTTGCAGTTGGCGGTTTTAGGAACACTTTGTCTCAAATAACGGATTTTAGTTAAAAAAAATATATAAAGCTGATTAGATGAAAATAGAAAATAATTAGTATTAACGTAACTTTTTATTTGAAAATTATTAAGACTCACAATCAATACAAACCGAGTTTTATCATTTTTCGATAAACTTACATGGCCTTCGTGGACATAACGGTTACAACCGACAGCTAGAGCATATCACAAATCCGATCTTCTTGACAAATAAAGCTATACCAACTCTCTTGCACTGAAGCTTTCATTTTGTTCTTCGAATTGATTTTTTCAGTAGATGTAGAGAAGAAACCTCCGACTTGTACCGGTGAGTTAATTGCTTTGCGGTTTTTCACACTTGTCTTAGCCTTAATATCAGGAGTTGGAAAAAACTCAGTGAGGCTTTGGTTATTTTCATCATTCTCATTATAATTTCGTATCCCTTTTTGCTTGCCTTATTGCTTGCGGGGACTTCGTTTTTCTTGTTGTTTTGTTTTAACGTTTACTTCGGTATTTTTATTTTCAGTACCTGTTTTCTTCACGAATTTTATTCGCTCCTTCTTTCGGATTCATTTTGATGCCTTCCTTAATGTTGTGTGCCTTATGTTCCTTTCTATCAAGATTATTTTCAAAGTAATCAGCTTATGTTGAAGAACTGGGCAAACTTAAAAAATCCTCCATTTCTCTTCCATTCTTTTGATGAATTTCTCCGGCTTGCTCCTAATAACGCCATCGGCAGATTCTCGGCTGGCGTTATTACGCGCACTTAACCTAAAACTCATCTATAGTGCCGATTTTATAAAAACTGCTTAGGTTTTGATTCAAACTATAAACTAGATCTAAGACAAACTTACACAAAATTACATGGATATCAACAAATATAATTTACACAATGATTAAACAACAAAATTCTTAGGACAAAAGCTTTCCCGCCAAAAACGTTGTTGATGGTAAATGATGGCAATGCATGTGGCGATATCTGTTGCATTCACGAAGAAGTTGCTTTGTTCCGTTGCTTTCCTGGATAAAAACGTACCAAACTATCGCATATAGCTTTAGTAAATTACTATAAATGAACTCTAAGGATCAGTCAAAGCAAAACAGCTGTCAAATGACGGATTACCCCACAAATCCCCTAGCTGTTAGTCGGAACCTGTTTTGCCTGACCACCACACAAAGAAAACAAACTAATAGTAATAATGAATCCTAGTTAATTGTACATAGAGAGCCAAATAAAACAAGATATTAAAAAAAGAATCACAATATATTGTCACAGCTAGCGGCATATATGCTTCATCACTGGAATGCAAGTTAAAAGAAAGGTTATTGTTCAAAACTACCTGACAATAAAATTAATAGATCGTGATAATTAACCCTGCAAAACGTTTACCATGGTACACGTACGAAGACTTTAAAAATATAGATATTATTATTATTATTATTATTATTATTATTATGATAATTGAGATGAGCAGAGTACACAGTAGGTACTATAAGCTCATGTAGTAAGTATAGTGTACGGACACGTAACACAAATACATCAAATAGAAAAAAATATAAAAAGACAGTTCATAGCTATAAAGTTTGTACACTCCTCCAGCTATCATACTGCACTTTGAAGCTATTAACTGAAGTAGCACCAACCACACTTTCAGGTAAACTATTCCAGGTGTTGAATATGCGTTTGGGAAGAAACCACTGTCGGACTGTTGTTTTAAATGGCTCTTTATGTAGTTTGAAGCTGTGTCCGCGTAGATTGCTGCGCGACAGATGGTATAGATGCATGAGGTTGGTGCCCATCAAACCATGAAGTATCCTGAACGTAACTATAAGATCGCCACGAAGTCTTCGCTCAGAGAATGAGGTCAGGTTGAATAATTCAAGGCGATCTTCATAGCTTGGTCTTCGTGCTCCAAAAGGGATTCGAGTAGCCCGACGCTGTACTGATTCGACGAGATTTCTATCGCGCAGAAGCACAGTGTCCCATACCGGGCCAGCGGATTCAAGAATTGGCCTCACGAACGCCTTGTAAATGTAGGCGCAAGTGTTGACATCGGATCCTTTGAAAGACCTCTCCAGCATGTACAGAAGTTTCTTGGCTATTGATGTAACGTGGTGAATATGCTCTGACCAGGAAAGACGATCGTTGACTACAACTGGCTGGAAACTGCTTCGATGTTGTGGTCAGAGATCTTGTATGTAAATCGCGGATTTATCTTCCCGAGGCGAAGGACACAACACTTAGTTAGATTTAAGGGTAAAAGCCAACTGACTGACCATTGACAAACAATATCAAGATCTCGTTGAAGCATAGCAGAATTTACGACAGTATTGTAAATCTTGGTGTCGCCGGTATAAGCTGAACATGTGGAGGAAATCAATGCGGGCAGGTCACGTGTATACAGAAGGAACAGCACTGGCCCCAAGACAGCCTTGAGGAACTCCACTTGCTACATGATGAAGGTGAGACTGGCTATCACTGACGCGCACAGAGAAAGTCCTCCCGGTGAGAAAAGCCTTAATCCACAGTAACAAGTCGCCTCTTATTCCCATACATTCCAACTTAAACAGAAGCCTTCTATGTGGTACGCGATCGAAAGCCCTAGAAAAATCTAAGTAGATTATATCAACAGGAGTCTTTGTGTCCAGATACTGAGTCCAATCGTTGAGAGAGTGGAGAAGGTTGGTCATTATTGATCGACCAGGGAGAAATCCATGCTGATTCTTAGGGATAAAGTCATTTTCGAAAGCAAATGACAGGAGCTTATCTAATATGATTCTTTCAGCTATTTTGGCGGCGATAGGAACGAGACTTATTGGTCGATAATTTTTAGCGGAGGATTTGTCGCCCTTTTTGAATACAGGGGTAACAGAAGCACTAAGCCAGCATGAGGGTCGGGTATGAGATCTAAATAAAAATAAAATACAAATAATTTAACGCCTAAACCTAAACTTATCTAGATAGTGGTCTTATCTGGAATGTTCTTCTTCCAGTTACAGCTCTAGGCGCTCAAAAACCAGTGTCCAGTAGTGAGCAGTGACGTAAGGAACGTCACAAGGTTAGAGGCTGCTTGCCTCGTTTCCAAAATTTACGGTATAAAAAAACCCTAGAGGGATAAATACTATTTAAAAATCTACTTTCTATTCTATGTCTGAGACAGAACTACTCACTTAAATCACTCAAACTTGTAATCCATGTACATTCTTTGTTACTAGAAATTTACTTTTCTTTCTGCAAGGGCAAGAAAAGATACAAATATACCAAAGTGATATACCCTCAGAAATTTATCCCTTGTTCTAAAATAAGTTATGGCAGCTCAAAATTCAAAATCATGATCAATGTAATGTAGTAAGCCCAAAAGACAGTGACAGGCACATACCTGAATACGTAATATGCCAAACAAAATCAAGAACACTAAGAATTTCAGTCAGCAACGATCAATATATTAATATCTATAGGGAAGCGATGGCTTCCAACAAAATCGGCTGCGAAACAGCTACAAGGCAGCTACAAAACAAAGCTGGAGGTGATTTTCCTCTAAAAGGTAGCATATAGTGAATACACTTCTTCAGAGCGAGCATTAATGGACGTAGACCGATGGTATACAAAAGAGAACTTACCGCTGGAGGTTAAAATCCCATTAGAAAATGGACAGGGTAGCACCCAAACCAAAACAACTAAACGTAAGGTACAAAATAAAAGAGTACTACTTCATAAACTGGTGCTTGGGGCGTTAATAATAAAGTTCCCAAAAAAAACGCCCACACACAACCAAAACCACTGTAAAAAGAAAAAGAAAATGGCGCTGGGCGTACGCAACCTCCTAAAAGAAGGTTAAATAAGTGGCTCTGAAGAAGACACTTTCGATGGAAAATCAAAACGAACAGATAAAAGCCGGTAAAGGAGATATCTTGATAGGAAGGTAAACATTCATATACGGCTAGTACCTGTAGACATCACAAGGTGGCGCGCTGGTTACCAGCAGGCAGACTGTAGGCAGAACCAAATCTGTCTACGAGGAACCAACAGTATTTTATGCTTAAATTTCTCACATAGTCGTTAATAATACTATAAGAGTCCAAAAAGACTTCAAAACAATACTGAATCGCTGACAAAGAAATAATACGTGTGAAATGATAAAATCAATAAACTATGAAATTTGGCAAAAGAAAATCATTAGAAAGAGTTTGGCCTAGGAATCGGTACTCTACTATTAATAAAAATAAATTCAAATTATTGATAAGATGCTGTGGTCTACTACTTTTTGGAAGACTCAGACATCGTATTCCCTATTGGCACTCCTCCATCTTTAGATATATATATATATATATATATATATAAGTTAGGTGAAAAACTAAAGCTTCCGCCTTTTGTTGTTTGTTGTTTATTCCTGGAAATGTCCAACATTTTCATGAATAACAACTGTATCAACAAAAAGACAGATGTTAAGCAACTGAGTGTCATTTACTCATATTTGCTAAACTGCGAAAAATTGGAGAACTTACATATCTCCCCAAATTTTGACTCTTCACAACCATAAATGGAATCTATTTCTTGGTCGATTCCACCAATAAACTTCATTCCACTCTAATTCTAATAATTTTCTTCTCACGATTTAATAATAATTGTTAATTTAATTTCCCATTAATTAAAATATAGTTAATTCAACTGCCTCTGGTCGGTTTAACAATTTCTTACATAACATTCTGAAAATCACATCATCTGAAGTGATTTGGCAACGTGGCACACGCCCACAATTCGTTCCATCTTTCTACACAGACATTGACAACCTTCGGCCTTCTGTCAAAGGGTTCATCTCACTGATTATTCCATGACCACCATTTTGTGCAATCATCAAGTGGCTTCACGATGTAATGCTTTCATGTTCTAAAAATTTTTAATCTGTTTTTAACTTGTTCTTGTCACACATTTGTGTGTATTTTATATAATTTTGACCATTGTACCATCTATCCAGCTTTCACCATGTTACTGGGCGTTTCCCTCATCCTGAACGTAAACAACAATTACTATAACACCATCCTCACATACTGCTGTAAGTTAAGTCAATTTAAATTCTTTTTACACTATTGTTGCTACTGTTATCAATGTAATTGCAGCTCCTGATGATGATGGCAAAGTCCATTGAAAGCTAGAGAGAATTAAAAAAAATATCCTCTTTGCTTAAATTTTGTCGAAGTACCCAACAAAAGGCGGAAAATATATATATATATATATATATAATATTCCACAGATTTCAGCTTCAAACATCAAAATAAACAAATGTGAACTGACAGTAAAGTAAGTAAACAAACCTTTGTTTCCAAAGG